CACAAGCTGGTTGTAAAGGAGTCTGGGAAATGCAGTTTGTAGTTTTCCACCCTCCAGGCAGAGGCTGGGAATGGGTCCTGAACACCAACTGATCTTAGCCACAATAGAAGGATATTCCATAAAAGCATTTATTTCTCTCTGTGGTTAAATCCTCTGCGTGGACCCCAGTGCCTAACCCACAGTAAGCACTGGGTTAATATTTGAATGAATAAATGAATGTAGTTCCATAAACCACTACCATATAACAGCCTCACTTCCTGTACTCCCAAAATGGACCTAGAGCATACGCTACAAACACTCTCTGGCCAGCATCTTCAATTCTCCTGTCCTTTTGCCTCCTGACCACCAGCTCAGCAACACCATGCTGTGCCAGGACTTCCTAGTTTTAGCACTAAAAGTCCTGTGTTCCAGGAAACTCCTCAATCCCAGGCAAACCAGGATGGTCACCCAATTATCCACTCCTCAGATGGTGAGCCTCCACAACTCAAGGCATCTAGAGTAGCAAGTCATGCTGAAGGGAGGGGAAAGAGCATCCCACACACGTGGTTTTCGACTTCAGGGAGCCCCTTTCTACGTGCTGCTCAGCATGTTATTCCAGGACCGTGGTCAGCTACTTTCAACAGCCTCATGACAGCTCCACCCTTTGGTGCTTTCTTCCAACCTAATACCACTCACTGGTGCCTCAGCTCCTCGGATGACCTTGCCATTAGTCAGAAGTGAGTTCCCACAACTCTCCACCTTCCCCTGCTGTCCCTGCCTCCTGGGCCAGCCACTCCCCCCAGTGCCCCTCACCCACCCTTTCATCTACCTCCCTCTACCTCCAGGGATTCCTCCTCTCAGCCTGTAAACATGTTCAGTTTCTTCCATCTTTAAAAAAAAAGAAAAAAACCTTCAGCTTTTCAGCCCCTAGACCAACCAGCTTCTAAGTGAAGCTGAGAACTGAAGAGTCTGCACTGGGTGCTTCAGCAACTTCAACTTCGATTCCCTCCTCAACGTGCCTCTACCTGCATCCTCCTGCCCCCACAGCCCTTACACAATAACACTTAGTGCCAAGCCACATTGGAACCGAGGCAAAGGAAAAATCAGTAATATGGATACTGTCTTTACTTAAATTTTTGATATTTTTTGCCTTCATGTCAATTTTTTCAAAATCTTGCATTAAAATATTATGTCTTGATTTTAGCACCCCCTTAAGTGTTGTGCCTGAGGTGAGTGCCTCACTCTTCTCACCCTGGTGTCCTCACCCGACAGTGCTCTTGTAGAGGCCTTGGTGACCTCCTAGAGGTCACATCCAAGGTCACATGGACATCCTCTTCTATCCAAGCATTCTGACGCTGCTGCTTAATCCCTCCTTGAAACTCTCCTCCCTCGGCCGACCTCACACCACTATATTCTACACAGTCCCCCGCTAACCTTCTCCAACTCCTCAGCACCCTCTTCCTGCACCTGCTTCTTAAATGGGGGTATGCCAGAGCATTCATCTCTCACTCAGGCCTTTCTGCTCCCCCGTCTATGGCCTCACCCTCTCCAAATAGATCTCCTATCAGGATGAACTTTCTGAAGTTCAGGCTTGAATCAAGTCACTTTCCTAGTTCAACCCTTTCAATGATCCTTCATCTCCCATTGCAGGTTCCAATTTTCTTTACAGTCAAGGCCCCTGCTGCCCCAGCACCTGCCCTCATCTCTCATTCACATGCCTAGCACTTTCAGTTTCAATCAAACCTCAGCAAATTTTTTCCTGCATCTTGGTGTCTTTGCCTGAATTACTCTCTTCCATTTACCTGCCTGGCAAAAATCCTTCTCAGCTTGCAGGGCCAGCTGGTGTCTCCCACTGTGTAAAGCCTTCCTGGGAAGAGCACACCAGGACTTAATCATTAACTCCTTTGTTCCACCACTATATTAGGTACATACCTCCCTGGCACCCAGCACAGCTCCAATACATGACAGTAAAATGCAGTTAACTTGAGTCAGGCTTTTCAATCTTTCTCACAGAACGTCAACTTTGCCTCCAAACCATCTGGTATTGAAAGCACATAACGTTTCCAGTACCGTAGCCACCATCATGACTGGTTCCCGTCAGACTTAGATCATCCAAGGACAGGTATACTTAATATTCCATTCTTTGCACTGCTTTGGTCATGGCACAGCCTGAAAGCAAGGTCATGTTCACCGAGGCACAGCATGCAAGCAAATATGATTTCCTAGCAACACGATGAAACAACAGCAATGGAGAGAAGCCTGCCTTGCCAGCTGCAGAAAGCAGCATGCAAACCTGGAACTTTCAGGTGTCTGGGAATCCCCACTGAGAATCTAAAGTCCCTGAGAGTCACCCGGAAGTTTCTAAAAAGATACAGGAGAAGGGGTTAGATGATCTCGGGTAGAACAGAATATGGCCAAGTCATGGGAGTTCTGGGCATCCACTCTGAACAGAACTAGATCCAACTTCCCCCTCCTCCATTGTGTACAGGACCTGTAGTTGTGGGTAGCAATTCAAGCAGCTATTATAATGAATCTGTCTTTCCTTCTCCATCTGTAGGTACTTTAACTCCAAGATAGTGCATGAAATGCCATTTTGTGTGCCCCTCATATTCAAAATAAGGTGTTTAATAACAGACCGTCATGTGGTTCCTGATTTGTTGAGTGCTGCAGAGACAGATTTGAAACTAGTCTAGAAGACCATGTACTGAGGCTGAAGCATAAATACATTCCAACTTGGGATTATTTAACGCCTATTTTTAATTTAATATTTTGTTTTTTAAATTTAATATTGAATAATTTTAATGTGTACTTTTAGCCCCTGATGCATTATGTACATTGATACATAATGTACAATGTACATTACTGATACATAATGTACCGGTGGCTAAAAGTATGCATTAAGAAATTATTTGGCTTCACAAGCAGTGCATTTCAATTATAGCAAATTGCCCACAAACAACAGGTGGTCCCAATAATAAAATGACATAAAATTAGAAGGTATGTCTTACACAGCTGTTTGATGAGGCTCAGCGCTATGATTCTCAAGGAAGCTCCTACGAATTTCAACATCACATTACCTCCAGTAACTTCCCTGGTTCACAACAGCTGCATACAGCCTACAGAAAATGAGGGGGTGAAAGAACCACAGAAAGACAAAGAGATCATCAATCATCTAATTCAGAAACATGAGCAGAGTAAAGCAAAATCCATTAATGCAGTGGCCGACTCCTTAACCAAAGTTCAGTTTTCACTAGGGCAAACTTCCACAGAGCACAACCCCTCAAGAGCATCTCCCCCTCCTCTGCCCAACACATAACCTAACTCGAGACAAGTATCTCAGTGTTCCCTGGACAGTGTTTTTCTGTTCTAACATATCTGCTCAAGCATTTGCCTCCGTTTGAAAAGCCTCTTGTCCTTTCAGTCTCTGCCTGTTGAAATTCTATCCCATCTTTCAAGGCATCTCTTCCTTAAGTCTGTCTTGATTCCTAAATCAGGTCATCTCCTGCTGTATAGCACTGTTTTTGCTTTCTTCTTGGGTACCTGTTCTATGTAGTACAGTCCTTGAAGATAGGCAAGCTGCCACTCATCTGCATTAGGCTATGATGGGTCCTGGCCAGGCCTGCCAAGCTCAACCTTCTAGAACTTGAACAGACCTACCGGTCATGATTACAAAGCTCCAGCAGGCCTGTACACATGTAATGCCTACTCATCCTTTCATAACCTACAGCAAAGCCAGATGGGGCTGGTGGCAGAGTAAGATAACCATACTTGGAACCTAGTCGTTAGATCCAGGAGACAGAGTTGATGAAAGGAAGTTTTTGCAACTCTGTGAGGTAACAATGCTGTAATTTTACCAGTGAATTACAATGTGATTTTAAGAGCTGGGTGAGGTCCAGCCAGGGCTTCCTGGTAGTAGACAGAACCCTAGCTTGAACAGACAGAACACAAAGTCTCCAGCCAAGTTCACCGGATATCCCTGGGCATTTTAGCAAAACGTAATCTCCCCCCATACCTTTAGCTAAAAATTTGTCCTTTGTGCTTATCACAAGTTCTAAAACTCAAAGATTTGTGTGTCAGAGTTTTCTTTTTGCCAGACCTCCAGACCAGTCTTTTGAGTTTAGTATGGACTCAGAAGTGCCTAAAATTTTAAGTATTGTTTTCCTCAAATACGACAGTCCTCTGACATCTTCAAAATTACTAATCCCTTGTGTGAGATGGTGTGAGTTTAATACACAATCCATCTTCCCTGTGCTATTGCTGTATTCACTCATGTTATTAAGAAAAATGCCATAGGCAAATGTGAGGCATTTGAGGCATTCATCAATTTACTGTGAGGCTTCAATTTCCTTGGGAAAAAAAAAATGAAAAGAAAAATAGCACCAGGCCAAGCTGTCTGAGTTTAAGCAAGATTCCAAATTTTAGTGCTTCAGCAAAGCCTGAATGAGTTCAGAGGCCACATCCCAATTCCAAGTAGGGCAAAGGAGGGCTGTTGCTTAGCCTCGGCTCTTTTTAGGTATCTGAACCATATGATGTCACCTTTACAGGAACTCAGTGTACATCATCATATGACACCAGCCAGGTAGACACACATTCCTTCTCCTCAAGATGTTCATCAAAGAATTCAAAAGGGGCTCAAGAAACAACCATAGCTGTCCAAGGGCATAGCTTCTTATCAGTTAGTTATGCCATGCTAAAATAAAATATTTAGCGTACAATTTCTGTAACTCATCTATACAAGACTGGCCTGAATTAAAATTTCAACCTAGCAGGTATATTTGCTCAGTTTATACAATGGGCCAGTCGGTCCTTCAGGAGATAGTCCTGTTCAAAATCAGAAGTTGTGCATAGTACTGTAGATATAAAGCTCTGAAGACTCCTTTTATATAGCATTCTTCTTCCTAGTTATACAAAGCACCACCTGCATGCTGGAGGAAAATCTGGAAAAATGGAGAAAAGTAAAGAAGAAAATAAAAATCCCCTGTTTGGCTTCAGCCCCATCACTATCTCTGGCATCTGTTTACCTGATCCCCAGCTTCTGTCCTCCTGCCAGTTTCCTCTTTCCAAGTTCCATAACATTTCTGGTGACAACTGAGGTTAAAGGAATAGACTCAGTAAATGCAGGTACTCAATAAATGCTGAATGAAGAGATTCATTCATTTATTATTTTTATTCAGCTCTGAATCAAGCTTTTGGTAATTCTTGCAGGGAATTTGGTTCATTCACCAGATAGTATTCAAGCAAGATTTGTCACAAGCCTACTCTAAAACAAAAACCTACTGACTTTAAAAACTACTTTTGTGAAGTAAACCAGAAAGAGAAAGAAAAATACCATAAGATATCACTTATATGTGGAATCTAAAAAAAAAGACACAAGTGAACTTATCTACAAAACAGAAACAGGACTCACAGGCATAGAAAACAAACT